AGGAGAGCTACAACTGTCATGAATTGAATTGGGTCTCCTTCAGATATATGTCACTATAGCTTGGTCATGATTCCTAGAGTTTGGGCAGGCACGTAATGATGTTTGTGGCAACTATGTGACGATTCTCCATCATGGGACTTGACAGGATCAAAGAACAAGGATTATGGGTGGGCTGCATTACTCACAATCCCATCAAACCCAGACTCCATATAAGGGAGTTCCCGTGGTGTGGGCCCTGAAACATCTTTTATCTTCCAAACATTAAAGGAGAGGAGTGAGCAGAGAAAAGGGGACTACTAAACACCCAGATATAGAGCCAGGTGTAGCAATAGGATCTGTACACACAATTTTGCTTTAGTGTGTACACAGATTCCCTTATTTTTCATATATGATTACTTGTCAATCCTTTCCTTCTGTTGTGGTTGTGTAGAGTGTCTCTATGAGTCCGAACAAACTCAGTGGCACCAGACAACAGGAATTGGCATAATACAAGTTGAAATCTTACATCAAACTTGATTCAGCATTGAGGTGAATCTGTTGGAATGTGGAAATCACTACTGTATTCGATGATTTCCACATTCCAACAGAATGAATGAATAATATCACACGTAAGTAAAATTATGCTGAAGCAAAAGCAGCTGCCACAGTCCAGACACAGGACACTTTGGAGAATTCCAGCTGGATTCAGTAGAGGAGGTGGAACGAGGGATATCATTGCTGGGGTCCTATGGATCTTGGCTGAAAGCGGAGAATACAAGAAAGATGTTTACGTGTGCCTTATTGACTATGCAAAGTCTCTTGACTGTATGGATCATGACAAACAACACATACTGATGTGAAGAATGGATAGTGCTCTTAACGGTGTGTGTATGTGTGTAAACCAAGAGACGGATGTTTCAAAGCCATAATTTAGAATCAGGAAAAGCATGTGCCGGGATTGTAGCTTTTCACCATACATATTCAGTCTGTATGCAGAGCAAATAATCTGAGAAACGGGAATATATGTAGAAGAACATGGCACTAGGATTTGAGGAAGATTCATGAACAATTTTTTATATGCAATGATACAACGTTGCTTGCTGGACATGAAGAGGGCTTCAAATTCTTAACTGATGAAAATCAAAGACTATGGTGTTCAGTATGGATTGCAACTGAATGTAAAGCAAACAAAAATCCTCACAAGATACATTTGAGTTGTGGTGTTAGAGAATATATTGAACGTTCCATAGACTGCCAGAAGAACAAACAGATCTGTCATGGAAAAAGTGCAGCCCAGGATTGGGACATGTTATCAGAAGGGACTAAAGTGCATTGTGCTTGGTAAAGTGGAGGATCAGCGAAAATGAAGGAAACTCCCATGAAATGGATTGACACAGTGGCAGCAACAGTGGACTCAAATGTAACAACTTTGAGGCGATCACAGGACCGGGCAGTGTTTTGTTCAGTTGTGCATTAGAGCTCTATGAATTGAAAGTCAACTGGATGGCTCCTGAGAACAAAAGCCAACGTTTGACTAACCTCTCTTCTCTTAATAGTCAATGGCTGACTAATAATCCATGGCAACATTTCCTTGGTGCAAGTTGTGTCCAACCATGCCCAACAGAGCCAGATAGAAGCTAGAGTCCAACTGCACTCACGTAATACCTTTACCCTACACATTTTCTCCTCAATACAATACCGCAGGATTCTAGCTGTGGGCAGAGAGCCTCGCACACTGACACACAATGGCACAGTATTGTTCTCTGCATAATAAACCCATCAGAAATCAGTCACAATATAACTTCTGCCTCTAAGCTCTTTAAAGGACCTGAAGAAATGAAAATTAAAATGTTTGACAGCTACACAGTGTATTGTCTGACCTCAGTATTACTTCTAATTCAGGAACACAACTAGATCTCAATCTAATCGAGATGGATTTAAGACACCAAAAGACCCTGTTGCTGTCACTTCCAAGTCAGCAACATTCTAAGATGGTAGAAAGCCCCATAGGGTTGCTGAAGTTGTAAATCTGTATGGAAGCTGACTACCATATCTTTCTTCCAAGGAAAGGCTGGTAGTAACCTGCTGACTTCTGGGATAGCAGCTGAGCACTTGACCATCGTGCCACCAGAGTTTCTTGATCTAACACATATTTGACACTGTCATGGAGTGTGGTTGCCATGTTGTTAAATGCGGTTGAGGTGATTCTAACTCATAGTGACGCTGTGCAGAGAGTTTCCAAGAAGCGGCTGGTGAGTTTGAACCACTGACCTGGTGGTTCAAACCGACCTTGGGGTCCAGTGCTGTGTGCGACAGAACCACACCAGGACTCCTTACCCTTACGTATATGCAGGAGAAAGATGAGGCTTTCTGCTCCGGCAACGATTTCCAGCCTCAGAAAGCCTTTCCAGGGTCGTCATGAGTTGGAATTTTCTCCACTTCATTTAACAACTACACTAGTACGGAGTCCTGGTGTGGTGCTGTAATGTAAACACTGGACTGCTAGCTGCAAGGTCAGTGGTTCAAACCCACCAGCCACTTCTGGGGAACCCTACACAGGGTCTATAACAACCACACACTACTATTTCATTAGTGTAATGAAGAAGACTCACTTCCAGGTGGGACTGTAACTACACAACAGCTAAGTGCCATTGAGTCACTCTGACTCCTATTGACTCTATAGGGTTCCCAGGGAGTGGCTGGTGGCATTGAACCGCTGACCTTGCAGCTAGCAATCCAGTACTTATCCTACAATGCCACACCAGGACTCCAAACCACAGGAATTGTTATGTGCTATTGAGTTGGTTCTGACTCGAGTGACTCCCAAGAGTGGCTGGTGGGTTTGAACCGCCAACCTTGTGGTTCAAGCCGACCTTGTGTTCCGGTGCATTATCCTGCAGTGCCATACCAGGACTCCATAGGATTAGGGTTTAGGATTTACAAGGTAAACTTTTGGAGGACATAACTCAATCTATAACACCATATAAAATGAGTGGGGTTTTTTTACCCACTATACTATGTTGTTGTTATTAGGTGCCATCGAGTCAGCACCGACTCATAGTGACCCTATGCACCGCAGAACGAAACAATGTCCGATCATGGGCAAATCTCATTACTGTTACCACACTTGAGTCCATCGATGCTGCCACTTGGCAAATCCATCTCGTTGAAGGTCTTTCTCTTTTTCTCTGACCCTCCATCTTACCAAGCATGATATCCTTCTCCAGCGACTGTTCCTTGCTGACAATATGTCCAAAGTATGAGAGATGAACTTTGGCCATCTTGGCCTCTAAGGAGCACTCTGGCTGCACGTCTTCCAAAACAGATCTATTGGTTCTTTTGGCAGTCCATGGCACTTTTAGTATTCTCCTCCAACACCATCATTCAAAGGCATCAATTCTTCTATAATCTTCCTTATTCATTGTCTAGAGTTCCTGTGCAGCAGATTTGCCCAATGCAATACGTCGTCTGATCTCTTGCCTGCTGCTTCCACGAGTGTTGATAGTTGATCCAAGAAGAATGAAGTTCTTGACAACTTCTTCAATGTTTTCTCCATTGATAAGAATGTTGTTTATTGGTCCAGTGGTGAGGATTTTTTGGGGGGGACTTTTGTTTTCTTGACATTGAGATGTAATCCATACCCACTATACTATATATATATAATATATATATATATATATATATACTATAAGGAGCTCTGATAGTGTAGTGGTTACATATGGCCTGTGAACTGCAAGGTCAGCAGTTTGAAACTATCAGCTGTTCCATGCGAGAATGATGAGGCGTTCTGCTTCCGTAAAGATTTATAGCCTCGGAAACCCTGTACAGGGTCGCTATGAGTCAGAACCGACTCCACAGCACTTAACAACAACATATATCCTATAACGGTGTTATAGTATCACCCGTTTTGTCATAATATCATTTGTTTTGTTTTATTGCAGTTCGATTTCTGTTGTTATTACAGTAACAGAATTACCACATTTCTTTTCTCACATTAGGAGACTTGTTAAGTGACATCGAGTCAATTCTGATCCATAGCGACCATGTATAGGGTTTCCAAGGAGTGGCTGGTGACCTTGAACCGCCAACCTGGCGGTTCAAACTGACTTTTAGACCAGCGCTTAACCCACAGCGCCACAGCAGGACTGGAGGGAGGGCCTTGTCTGTTTTGAACTTCTGCTCTTGGACAGTCATGTGGCTTGGCATCTCTCTCCCCACATGTCTGTTTAGCTCGCTTGTTTACTCTCTGATTTCTCAAAGGAGACAGACTGCAGATACACCCTGCACTAAGCCTGCCTCATGAACGTAACAAAGATCACACAGGCATGCTTCTGCTCTTACCGAGTGCCATCAAGTGGGTTCTGACTCCTAGGGCCCTTTATAGGCTTTACCAATCCAGGGCGTATGCTACACACCACCTGTGGGCTCCATGGCAGGCACCGAGGTTAACATGTACAGCAGCTGTTCGTGGAGGGCATAATTCCATACAGAACACTATGATTCTTCCTTTTTCCAAAATCTAGATCTGATTTTACCGGGGATAGTTTTTACCTTTTTTTAGTTTTATTTTGTGTTGCTATTTCTATTAGAAAGAGGTGGGTTGCTTTTCTTCCTTATATACTCTAGAAGTTCCCACAGCCATTGAGTTGATTCCAGTTCATGGCGATCCTGTAGGACAGAATAGCCCCGTAGGGTTTCTAAGACTGTAAATCTTTCTGGGATGGGCCAGTGTTCTCCCTGTAGACCTTGCTAGTAGCAACACAACATTGAACTGCGTAACCAGAAAATGCCTCGATGCTGATGGATCTGTTAATCTTTCCTAGACTGCTTTTGTTCAGAGTCTTAGAAGTCAACAGAGCAGTTTGTTTTGTTGCCACCGGAGAGATTAGTGGCTGAAGTGAGGCTGGCAGGAGAAGGGGAGAAGCCCAGGGGAATACCTGAAACCCCACGGGGGTGTATCTGTCTTCAGGCAGGCTGGGGTCTTGGAAGCCCGGTGTCACCCCAATCTCTTCCTCTTACAGATGCGGCCTAAAGTCATGTGGCACCTCCTCCGCCGATACATGGCGTCTCGGCTGCATTCCCTGCGGATGGGTGGTTACCTGCTCTCTGGCTCCCAGGCCCCGAGGCTGTCCCCCTCCCTGATGAGGGCCCTGGGTGACAAGTGCCCCAACCTGAAGCGCCTGTGCCTGCATGTGGCCGACCTGACCATGGTCCCTATCACCAGCCTGCCCTGCACCCTGCGGACCCTGGAGCTGCACAGCTGTGAGATCTCCATGGCCTGGCTCCTCAAGGAGCAGGACCCTACCGTGCTGCCCCTTCTCGAGTGCATCGTGCTGGACCGCGTCCCTGCCTTCCGCGACGAGCACCTGCAGGGCCTGACGCGCTTCAGAGCTCTGCGCTCCTTGGTGCTTGGTGGCACCTACCGCGTGACCGAGACCGGTCTGGATGTGGCCCTGCAAGAGATGAGCTACTTGCAGAGGCTGGAGGTGCTAGGTTGTACCCTCTCGGCCGACAGCACCCTCCTGGCCATCAGCCGCCACCTCCGAGATATCCGGAAGATCCGGCTCACTGTGAGGGGTCTCTCTGCCCCCGGCCTGGAGGTTCTGGAAGGAATGCCCACCCTGGAGAGCCTGTGCCTGCTGGGCCCGCTCGTCACCCCGGAAATGCCGTCCCCAGAGGAAATCCTCTCTTCCTGTCTCACCATGCCCAAGCTCAGGGTCCTAGAGTTGCAGGGGCTGGGCTGGGAGGGTCAGGAGGCCGAGCGGATCCTCTGTAAGGGGCTGCCCCACTGTATGGTCATCGTCAGGGCCTGCCCCAAAGAGTCCATGGACTGGTGGATGTGACGGCGCCACCAGCCCAGCTTCCACTGCCGCCCAGAGCAGCGGCCGAGGAGGGAGGGCTCGGGCGGCTGAAGGCTCCGTGGCACCAGGGCGAACCGTGCCTTTGGGGCCTCCAGACTTGTGTTTACCAGCTGTGTAGCCTTAGTCCCAGGAGCCAACTCTGGAAATGGGAACCTCCTAGCTACCTCATCGCTAAGTTGCAAAGCCTTACTCTTTACTAACCCCTAACCTTGAGGTCCTCGGTGAAGGATGGTCTCAGGGTTGTCCTCAGGAACAGAGCCAATGCAGAATGGGGCTGAGTTTGGGCACCTCGAGGCCCCCAGCCTCCCTAGCAGTCTTTAAGGACCATGTGCCTGTATACCTACATACCCACACATCAGTTAGATATCCACATGCACATGACAGAGAACATTGTTCAGTTTGATTACCAGTGTTAATGCAAGTTCAGAGTTGTCTTTTTTATGCTGTATTTTCCACAATTTTGCTATCAAAAATAAACTTTTTTCAAATTAGTGTTGTATACTCATTCAATGTATGTTTATTGAACACTTGTTCACTGTGTGAGGCACTGGGGTCGCAGCCCTGGTAGAACTCCCAGGAGAAGAAATGATCCATAGAATCGTTTCCGAGCCGATGAAAGAAGTCAGGGCCTTACAGTGAAGGCAGAGCTATGGGCAGGTCAGGCCTCTGTGAGCCAAACCTTAGAAGTAAAGCGGCAGCAGCCAGGGGAGCACATGGAGAGCAGCCGGAAGGCCCACCCTAAGGTGGGAACGGCTTTGGCATTTTCAGGGAACAGGTAGAAAGTCTGTGTGGGAGAGTGAGCACAGGCCAAGGTCAGGGGGCCTCTCACAGATGACTTAGGGTTCCTGTCTTTGGAGTCTGAACCACTTCAAAGACACAGGTGGCAGATAATGATCACCATGTTAGTGCTGAGCTGAGCTGGCTGTGGCCCAGCCCTGGCTCTGTGGGCTCAGAGTGCCCCCTTTACTGCAGGCACAGTTGTTTTTGTTAAGTGCTGTTGAGTCAGTTGTGACCCATAGCAACTCTATAGGGTTTCTGAGGAGCCGCTGGTGATTTGAACTGCTGACCTTCTGGTTCAAATCGACTTTGCAGTCCAGCCCATTAGCTCAGCACCACACCAGGAGTCTGGCAGGCAGTTACGAGAAAGAAAAGGGCCTGAGCTGGCTGCTTTTGCTGTTATTCCAGCTTGCCCATCAGATGCCCAGAGTCCATGCTAGCCCATGGGACGTGGAGTAGGAACGCTGACCACTGCTGTGTGAGTGTAGCCAGGGATGACTTGACCTAATGGACCAGTACTATGACCAAATCTAGCAGCTCTGGCCCAGGGTCTGTGAGGGACTAGGTGGAGGCTGGGCGTGGACACTGGAGACATCTGGGGGTGCTGGGGGCAGGGAGGAAAGTGAAGTCTGTTTTGCTGGTAGAGTGATGACATCTGTGGCCTGTTAACTATGAGGGAGGGAGGGGTCGGCCCCAGCCCTGTGTTGAGCTCTGCTGGTGGTCCTGCAGGTGGTCTGCTGAAGTCCCACCGAGAACAGCTCCAGGGAAACGTTAAATTTGCTCCCTCCTGCCTTTTCAGTAGGACTCAGTTCGAGGTAGAGGCATACAAGAAAATGGGTTTGCAGTCAGCTTGGCATGTGCTGATTTCTGGGGTATAAAAACTCCCATTGTGGCAAAACCGGGCAATGTAGTGTTCTTTTGCGCATACGATTGCTATGAGTTGGAAATAACTCAATGGCATCAAACAACAACAGTGGCTGGTTTCAAGCGACAAAGAACCTGCTCACAGAATTCCTGAAAATGTCGCAGTCAGCGCTCATGAGCGGGCAGGAGCCAACGACAGTACACCACTGGCTGGAGGTGTCTTCCTGCCAGGCTCAGCCTTGATGGAGACTCACTCTGCTCAGTGACACTTTCCCTGAGAAATGATGGGGTTGCATTGCACAACCTCAGGCTGTGCTCTTCCTCTCCTGTGATCTGCTCCCCACCCCCAACCATTACCTTCTCTGAGATCAGTGAGGGAGGCCTCAGGGCTGCAGTCAGATGGAAATGAGGGATGATAGCTGACACTTGATTGTACATCAGAGACTGAACTCAGTCCTTCATTCACAAAATCCTAGCAGTCCAGTGACAGAGGTCCAGATGAGGAGACGGAGGCATACCATGGCTGAGTTGCCCCAAATCACATAGCTAATAAAATCATAGCGCCTTGTTGTTACGCACTGTCGAGTCAGTTCCGATTCATAGCAACCCTGTATAGGGTTTCTGAGGAGTGGCTGATGAGGTTTGAACTGCCAACCTTGTGGTTCAAACTGTCCTTGTGGTCCAGTGCATTATCCTGCAATGCCTATTCTACAACCTTCAACCATTATGCTAAATGGTCTTACTCTCATAGCTGTGTGAAGGATGGCCCAAAAACTGCCACACTGGACCAAAGGATACACAAACACGTTAAGGGCCGCCAAGCCAGTTCTGACTCACAGCTACCTTGTGTACATACACATTTGTTGTTGTTGTCATGTGTCGTGGAGTCGGTTCCAACTCATAGAGACCCTGTACAGGGTTTCTAAGGCTGTAAATCTTTACAGGAGCAGAAAGCCTCATCTTTCTCCAGCGTAACGGCTGGTAGTTTTGAACTGCTGACCTTGCAGTTCGCAGCCCAATTCATAACCACTACGCTACCAGAGCTCCTTGTACATACATACACATAGGTACATGATATATATGGGGTCCTGATGTGATGATTAAGATAAATCACTGGACCACAAGATCAGTTTGAACAGCAAGGATGGTGATTTAAACCCACCAGTCACTCCTCAGAAAACCTATACAGGATAGCTAGGGGTCGTAACTGACTCGGTGGCACTTAACAACAACTGCATAGTCATTTGGTGGGAATTACAAGATCATGTTAAGAAAGGCCACATAAAAGTGATCCATTGGGAGGCAGGGCTTGATGGCAGCTAGGGTGGAGGTGCAGTGAGGTTTGCCGTCAGCCATACCACAGAATACCAGGCAAAGCAGATCCAGGGCAGAGCTCCAAAACTCGGAACCACATTAAGTACAAATATTTAAAACGTTTGAAGGCATATAGCTAGTGGAACTTGAAGCTGAAGTAAGAAATCGTGTACTTTTGAATCTTCGAGGCTCAGAGGCCCAGAGCCCACAACTTGGGGGAGACCAAATGGCAATCCCAAGCGGGGGAGCAGGAACAGCATGGAAAAACGCTGCGGGAACCTCTGAGCATAGGCAGATAATACAATTTGTCGGTTTTGCTTTGTTCTCATTTTCTTTTTTGGTATCTGTTCATTGGCCCCCCATGTTTGCACACCTCCATATTGGTGGGGGAAGGGGTTGCCTGAGCGAGTGGACACCCCCCACCCTCACCACTGGTGGGTTCTTCGGTGTACAATAATAATAATAAAAAAAAACCCACAGAGGGAATGAAAGTAAATGCTATTGAATGATGATGCATGGAGGGGATTGTAATCATTGCAATGAAATGAAATAAGATAGGATAAATGTAAAGCTGATGTTCTCCCATGTAAACTATCACTCAATTCACAATAAACACATTAAAAAAAAAATAGATCTGCTCATTGCAAACCTCAATTCTATAAGATTCAGGCTAGAATGTTGTCTGTTCTTGTTGGTTCTCAGTCCACAGAACTCCCTTTAGGATGTTTTGTAGTGCAGGGTTGGCTTTGGCAAAATCCCTTAGCTTCTGTTTATC